TTTTGTTGTATTTATCCGCAACACCTTAAAGGCCGGTCCGTGAAAATATTGTCGAGCATAAACTGGTCCGTGGCGCAAAAAAGGTTGGAGACCGCTGTGCTAAGTAATTAAAGACAAGTCCAGGAGTGTGGTAAATGCCAAAATGACTTGTTTAGATGCAAGTCAAAAACCCCTTTAAGCTAAACCTGTTGGGTTAGAGAGCAGCTGTGTTCAGCTGTAGCACAGTGAATGATTCGATAATCCAACTTTATACTTTTATCTATTTTTCCCGTAATTTAGTCATCGGAATTCAAATACAACAAACACCTGTTTATGGAGAAGGCCAGGAAGTGGACACAAGAACATGCCGTCCAGAAGAATTCTGTGAGTTACTAAGGACTTATATAATATAATATAATTATTAATCATTTAATGTAATTACACTCTGACTGCTGCTCTATTCTTAGTCACATGATTCCTGTCACTTGCTCCACAACAATGTTCATGTATTAGTTGTGTGCACAGTTTTATTTGACCCACATGGTTGTGCTGTGCTCCTGCAATAGAACATTATAGGCCGAGTAAATAGAACTTGTTTATTTGCAGTCGCATTAAAGTGAAAATAACCTCCTTGTAATTGCACTGATTTTTTTTGCATTCTGTGATTGGGGGTTGAGGGTGTTGCATACTCGACCTCTGGACAAACCTCAATTGTAAGGTGACTGCACAGATTGCCTAGAGGAAAGCAACTTGTCCAAACAATTCAGATTGACTGTAATCACTCCCAGAAAGATTGGCAAGGTTTTGCAAATATTTGCTCTCTAATCTGTAAACACAGAGAGATTGCTAGCATGTGACAGCTGATTTAAGTTAGTTAGTCAGTCAGAGCAACTGAGCTGGCAATTGTTACTGTATAAAAGCAAAGTTGTCAAGCACGTATGGCACTTTGCAGTTAGATTGCTGTCCTGCAGCAATCATGTCACTTTGTGGAGGAACTTGTGAATTTATGGAAACAGGTGGCAAGAGATGTGGAATTTTGCTACTAATCTTACTACTTAATCATGACAAACATTTTGCGTGTTATTACCAGCTTGCCCTCATTCAGCTGCAAAATGGAAGGGGATCAGTTTCATCCCTTTTTTACGGCTTTGAGGATGGCGGCAAAACGTTGCTTCAGAGACTGCTTCTTCGAAGCGTTCAAATTGGAGGCAATGAGACTGCAAGGTCATTGCACATGGTTGCAACAATTTTGATCATGCTACAGTGTCCAGCCACTGTTTTCCCTACTGTAACTATAGTGTAATCTCGCCATAAGAACAGTTTCTTCCCCTCTGCTGTTGGACACATGAACAATACCCGTATGACTGTTCCCACCACTAACACATGACCCTACGCTGTGTTCACTGCATCATTCCATGTTTGGCACTGATCACCACCTGCACTCATGTATATATCATGTATATATCTATCTATCTACTTAGCACTTTTACTTCTTATTCTCATTTTTATTTTCATGTCTATTTAAGCGTAATTTATAACAGTATGTTTGCACTGAAGCACCGCAGCAATTTCCTAATGTTGTAAACCTGCTCAACATTTGGCAATAAAACTCTTTCTGATTTCTAATGGAGTGCATCATGTACATCTGCACTGCTCAGAAAAACTAAAGGAACACGAGCTGGCCAACCTCTGGTGGGATCCAAATATTACTCATGCTAGCAGTAGTGACACTGACCCCAGCCAAATGTAAAAATGGTGGAAAAAACTGAGACAGCATGTCATGAGGGTGCGCTACATTTTCACCTGTAGTGCACCTGTATATAATTTCATTAACAACCCCCTCTGCAGTTGAACTGACTTGATGATTTTCTGGTTTAGGAGGAGTAGGGTGTTTTGTTTTTTAATGCATTTTTTCTCCCCAGGGTGTTGTGGATGGCAACAAAGAAAATACTCCTGATCAGAAAGCATCAACCCGAAAAAGAGAAGCGCACAGTGTGCAGCAGGAAGCAGAAGATCCAGCAAAGAGAACCTGTGTGTAGTTTCCACCTCACCTGAGAAAACTGCCACCTTGTTAGAACTGTGGTATTAATTTTATACACAGATGTAAGACTTGTCTTCCTGTTTTTAAATGTATGTGTATGTATGTATGGCTGTATGTATAATGTGCGTGCTTGTGTTGTGACATTAAAGTTTCATTTTATTAATGTATTTCAGAGTGCCTGGACTTCTTGTGTAGTTTGGAGGTGTCTCCGATCTGTAACATAAGCGCATACTTGAGTGTGTATAGTATGAAGATGATGGTTTTATTCAAAAATATGCTTAACCAGTTGTATACAAAGTATGTACATCCTAAATAGTACATTTGTTTTTACAAGCTAAGGATTTATTTCTTATAATATAAAATTATATAATTGCTGTTTATAAAAAGGGGAGACAAACATCATAAGGCTGTAGTGAGTCAATACCATGCTAGTTCAGAGGTAGTTATATTGTATGTACATAATGCTAGCCTACTCTAAAGTCTGTAAGAAAAATACCTACATCCCATTCAGTCTCTATGACTGCTTGCCTCCTGTTGGATAGAGTTGCTTTTCTTGAGATCAAACATGTAAACCATATGAAAATAGATGTGCGGCCCATTTCCTGTGGCGCTTTGCTGCCGTATAAAGAGTAGCATTTTTACAACAACCTTTGTATTATACAGTTGCATAGTACAATAACAATGACATCTGTGGAAGAAAACTTAGCTTACACTGGCTGTCGTGTGAGTGATGAGGAGTCCCTTTTTTTTAAACAGACCTTAGCAATAGGATAGAATTTGTATTTAAACAAAAAAAAAAAAAAAGGCTCCACCTATAAAAGAACCAAACAACCTGCATCTTCTGAGTTGGATTTTTCATCAGTTTTCAGTATAAACAAAGATCTATTGGTGCTACCTAAATTCCCCACAGGCGAAATCGCTGATTTGTCCAATGCTTACATTTTCCATGTGGATTTGAACTGTTCCCCATGACTCAGTCCACTGAAATGTGTCTGAAATTGTCCTTTATATAAAAAGCAATGTCATTGTCCTATTCGATGTCCTTGAATAGTCTTTTCTGTGAAAGGACCTTGTAGTCCCGCTCTCCACTTTCAGAGGCTCTTTGTTTTCTCCTCAGCTTCTCTGCACTCTGTAGTCTCTGTAGTAACAGTTTCAGTGTTGAATGTTCTGAGGAGCTTGAAGACTGTGAACCCAGAGGCGGTCTTTCTGCAGAGGATGGTCCTTTCATATTCATATGGTGTCCTAGCTTTTCAGACAGCTAGCGTGGATGCTCATGGGTTGAGAGTGAGAGACATGGCAGTGTGATAGACATCTTGATCCAAACTTTCTAGAAATCACCAGTCGCTCACCCTCTCTCTCACTCTGCCACCCTTTCTCTATCTCTGGCAGTGGGAGGAGGTATTTGGCAAGGGATGAGAGGAACAGAGGATGTGGAGGAGCAGTGGGAAAATCTGATCGGATCCTGCCGGGGTTGGAGAGAAGATCCTCCACTGTATGTGGCATCAGTGAGTGACACCTGTGTTGAGGAATCGGAGCAGGAGCTCTTTTCTGTGTCCACGGAAACCAACGAGTCCAAGGTGTGGTCCCGACGGAGCTGTGTACGTGCTTTGGGGCGTGGCCAGAAAAACAGCTGAGAGTGGTCTCTCGTGAAAAGAAGGAAGAGGAGAGGGTTGAGGCAGGCTGGCAAGGGCTGGAGAAGCAGGAGGACTGATTTTAGTACTTCCTCCCCCAGAGAAAGGAGACCAAGAAGGGAACAAAGGGAGAGGAAAGCTACTGGTACATACAGGAGACCATTGGTGAATATTAGCCAGGCAACATGTTTGATCATAGCGCAGTCCCACAAGCCCTCACACTCTCCTCTGAGTAACTCCCAGTAGAGGCGGATGTGTGAACCTGTGACTATAAGCAAGCACAGGGTGTTCATCATAATGAGGGCCAAGGGAAAGCCCAGGGAGGACGGCAGTCGAGAGGACGGGGGTGGCAGGGGTGAGGGAAGGCAGAAAGGCGAGGACCCATACTCCCCGACTCCTGCCAGTGGGAGAGAAGCAAGCGTGATGGAGAGAACGAGGCAGAACAGTGCACAGGTGCGCACACTCACGAGGGATGGGGACTTCCCATAGGTGCGCGCACACGTCACGCTCACACCACACTGCACTGCTGCAAGAGTTAACAGCAACACGCTGGCCTCGGATGCAAACACCCAGACCCATCCTGTCGCCTGACAACCAGGACCCCCCTCCCACCGGGCTCCGTGGTGGCCAAATTCTCCCAGCGTGAGAGCATCCACAAGGGCCAGGGTGCACATGCACACACCAGTCAGTAGATTTGAAGCCCCCATGCAAGCCACGGTAAAGCGAAGTGGTGACAGGTAGCCTGATGAGCCAAAGAGAGACAGAAGCAGGATGGAGTTCCCCAGCAGAGACACCAGGGAGATGCACCACAGGCCAACACGAACTAGCCAGCTGCCCAACAGAGAGTCACAGGGACGGAAAGGACCTGCAACAGCACAAAACAGTAACTCATTAGCTACTTGCATCATACCCTACAATAAAACTCATTTGCATTCATTTGCATTACCAGGTGTTGGTGTGCACTGGACACTGGCCTGCAGTTTGGATTCCTCTAATTCCAGCTGGAACTCCTCCAAGTCTGGGTCATCTGAAAGAAAACGTTTTTTTAGGGCCAGAATTCAGAATTTCAGATTTCCTTTTTGATCAAACCTCCAAACGGTCCATGTGTTAAAGCATATTGAGAGCTTATTCTGAAAGTGCTTAGACACAATATACCCCATGCAGACTATGCGCGACTCTAGCTGCAGGGGCTTGTAATGATAACATTCTGTTCCACAGACAAAAAATAGACACTTCAGAAGATTACTGGCGCTTGGATGAATTTTGATTGTCTTGGCATGTTTCTCTAGCAATTAAAGGTAAATAAATTTTAATCAGTGATATGTCTTGGTTTATTCTTCTCTTGATTCTGTTGTTTTTCTGAATACACCCAGCAGTTTTTTAATTTCTGCTTTAATCATGCAGATTCATTGGGTTCATTTCACCTTCATTTTGATTTATTTGTGTTTCTATTTTATGCTGGCCACAGGAATGAAGGAATGGAGGGGTCAGCACGTGTTGTGTGTTTTCAGGTCACTGTGGTTTCAGTGAGGATCTGACACGTCCTTAACGGCCAGGTATGGACACAGTTGTCAGATTCCCATCTGATATGTTACAAGTCTTTTGACATACTGTGTGTATGTTTTCACAGATACCGTAAGCATGTGTTGTCTTACAGTGAGTGTCGGTGTGGATGGGGTACATGGCTACAGTCCTCTTATGCAGGTCTTCACTGGTGCTGCTCTGCTCCGAGTCCCACTGACCGGCTGGCTTGTAGCTATCACAGGAGCCGTACACACAGCATTGGTAGGCATAAGGCATCTCTATCACCCTGTACCAATCAGATGAGAGTAGTGTTGAAAATAAACCAGAAGAAAAACAGGAGCATAATAAGGTGGCAACAAAACTGCAAGTCCTGGCTGATGTTTCTTTCAACGTGAGCTTTATCTACGTTTCTTTTAGGCACAATTTAAAACTGTTTCCCAGCAGCTTCAAGTGCTTTTGTTCCTGTTGCTCTTACTTGTATTTACAGTAAACCACATTTTGATTGATGTGTAATCAGTTTGACTGGTATTAAAGGTATATATTCCATAGGGACCGGGTGTTTTTGCCTTATACTGGACACGCGTAGCCTTTGTAAACAGAGGGGATGGTAACAATAGACCCAAAAAAGCTTCAGTGTATGAAAGCATAACTGAATTTTTAATAATGATAAGAGTCCATCGTTGGGGAAAATGCAGGCGAAGCGTTTATTTATTTTGCTGATCTGCTGACTTTGGTGTAGATGTCTGCAAAAAACCCTTTTATTTTACCTTTAGTGCTTTTAAAATGTTTGTCTGCCAGAGGTTCTGTTCTGGGCGATGTTCTACAGGGATACTAACACAGCTTTGATCTGCTGCCATCTCCAATCTCTTTAAAAGTTCCTCTTCATTTTTTACTTCATCGCACCTTCCCAGGCCTTCAGGGATCTTTGTAACAAGATTGAACTTGCTGCTAACAAATACTCAGTCATTGTTTAAGTTCGGCTCAGGAATGGCTTGCAGGGATACACTGTAATTAGTCAATTGTCAGAGTTGGCAGCTTTCGGTAAATTCACGATATTAGTAGAAAATTGCGAGAGGAAGGATAATTTAAGGGTTGGGAAGGGATGCGTTTTCCTCACAGCCACAGGATACACACCTGGGATCTTTGTTTTTTTGGGACAAAGCAAAATACAAGTTTCATTTGAAGATCACACAGTTAAAGAAAGCACTCAATGGTTCTGAATAGAGTAGTTACCTCATATGGGGAAAGTTATCAGGACTGAAGGCCTCATATAATTCTGTGTTCCCCCTCAGCTTGAGATGGGTCAGACCGCTCAAGCCCACAACAGGTATTGAGCTCAGACGGTTTTCAGTCAGGTCCCTAAGAGAAAAATCGAAGGACAGTGAAATAAGAAAGGTGCATGTCAAATCAAGCCAAGTTAATGTTTGTAAAATGTGTTTTTATTTCAGATAAAGCTGCGAGATGTCCTTGATAAAATGTCCTTGTCTCCTAGATCCATTAAGCTGTGTAGACAGGACTCTATCAGACTGACTCCACATAATACTTTCTGTCAAACGTATTATCTGCTTGTTTAGCCACGCAAACTTCAACCAGTCTTCACACAATGAAGTACTTTTATATTGGCATGACTTGAGCTGAGGCTTCTTGCCATGCAGAGATTTTTTTTTTTTCAAACAATAAATGGATTTTAATGTTCGCTGCAAACTCTGCCAAAAGTCCACAGGTTTTCAGTGGAGCACGCAGCCAAGTATGGAGTGTTTGTGCAAGTGCAACACTCTGAGATGCATATATTCTTTATGCTTTTCTCAGAAGGAGGGGAGAACAAGATGAAAGGTAGAAGAGTCTTAGTGAGTTTACTCACAGTTTAACCAAAGAGTGAAGCGAAGCAAAGGCATCTGGGTGGATCCTCTCGATCATATTCCAGCTCAGGTCACTGACAACAAAAAGAATCACAATGATGTGAAAGTGCCTGGAATGACGGCGCACACTTGGCTATGCTGTGTATCACCACT